GGTAGAGGCTTGATCACTGCACTGTACACCTGAAGTTGATGTTGTATAATATTGTATGTCAAATATAAGTGAATAGATAGATAGATAGATAGATAGATAGATAGATAGATAGATAGATAGATATTGTCATGGGATGTGGAGTATAGTGTGGGAGTGGAGTCAAGGGAATTGTAATAGATATGTATGATATTGAGGGGGAAGTGGGGCGGCGGATTAGGGGAGGGCTGTTGTCACTTTGAGGGATAAAAAGTATAAGTATTGCACTGTGTTGTACAGCTGAAACTAATTTTTAAAAATGTGTATTTAACAATAAAAAAAAGGGGGCACCTAATACCAGGGGTCTATCAATTTCCAAAATCTTCAAGGTCCAAATTTAGAAACACAAAAGTCACATTAGTTAGTCCTCCTCTCTGCAACTTTACTGATGAAGACTTCCTTTTCTCATTCAAGACAAAACTTTAATTTATTTCACTCTTGTGTTCATTAAGGCAGATCTAGCAACTGACCCAGGAACTGTCTCCTGCTTAGATCTCCTATTTTTAGCCATTCTCTTGTGCATTAAGTTCAAAATCCCATTGTTTAAGCAATCATTTTCATTCATAATTTTAAATTTGGACCTTAGCCTTAGCCTCTATTTATATTACAGAAAAAAAAGATATCTGAGGAAAGTAGGAATATATTTAATCAAAGAGAGGTCTGCTTGGAATCTTTTGGGATTAAGGGTTACATTAAATGTGACATGGTAGATTTGGGCTATACAATACTACATGACATAGAAACATGTATATAACCTACACTGCAATACTTTTGGGGAATGAAGCTAGACTATACACTTTTCTTCCTTGGGCATATAAATATAATGATATTTTCCATCAGATATTGCTAAAGAACTCCATTTAATAAATTATCTGCTTATGTTGAAGGCAGCAGATGTGGCTCAGTGTGATGCTTAATTGTTGTAGAAACATTTTTTATATTTTAATTTGAATATGTCATCTAGAAAAAAGACAAAAGCAATAAGGAATTACTTAATACATCATTAACTCTAATACAGCAACTTCTATGTACAGATTTCCTGGAGGTATTTTAAACCATTATTTTGTTGTATATAATTTTTTTTAAGTTTAAAAATAAATTCATATCAGGCAATTATAGGTGGTAATAATTAATGAGAACCTCACCATTGTTGTATAAAAACATATTATCCTGCATCATACCTTGACAGATTACTAGTCAATGATAGCTATTAGAAGTCTCAGTAGGCAGTCTGAAATTATTCACACAACATTAATTAGGTGTGTGGATATGCAGCTTGGAAATGGAAAATATGTATTTCACATTCTTTGTCTCATTCTGAATAATACTGTCATCACATACTGTATATTTTTTACATTTCATAAAAAGGCTACGTGCTTGTTCAGTACTTTAATAAATTAATGATAATGGATGCATAGTGAATAAAATAAAGAATATGACAGCAACTAAAAAGGTTTACCAAAAATTAAGAATCATTAACTTTGGAGAAAAAAGTATTACTAACTCAGACTATCCAGCCTATGGATTGAAAGATAACAAAACTTGTATTTTGAAGATTTGGTAAGGAGTTATTGTAGCCTAGGTAAGAAATGAAGGTCTTACCTAGGACACTGGCAGTGGGAATAAAGACGAGGTAACATGTTGGAGGGATGTTTAGGAGACAGCATTGACAATATCTGAAGTGATCTGCTATTGTGGAAGGGAAGGAGTCTTAGACAATCCAAACAGTGAAGTGGGAGATGGATAAAAAAATAAAATGCAAAAAAAGATAGCTGGTGGACTCGAATCTCAGAAGGAAGAAAAGGATTTGATCTAGAATCCATAGGGAGAAGTTAGCCTTGGACAGACAGAAACATTTTTTTCTCTGAGGTTGAAAAGGTCTGGTTGAGAGGAGTGGCTAAGCCAACTGCTTGATATTCACTGGGCCCTGTTGTACTAACGGGTACATTTATGTCACTCTAAGGCAGCAACCTCCACTTCCACTTCTTTGTCCTACCTTTGTGCAGGATCTTGCAGGTGTCTCTAGCCCAATCTCATCCCTTTTCCTCAGACACAGTGGAGACCTGTGACTTTGAGGGTAAACTGCCACTTGCCTCATTATCACCTTCTCCACTGGTGACCAGTTGAGTCAAGTCATTCCTGTAGGGGGAGTGGGTTGGGGGAGGGCTTGTTGTCCTCAGTTTCCTGAGGAGGGAATGAGTAGTGCCTTCAGCTTCAGGCCTACCTAAGGTGTGAGCTCTTCTGAAGGTTACTGGGCACTAACCTGGTTCAGCATGAGTTGCTCCTTTGAGCTTCACTTGACTCTCAGTTGTTTTGTGTATATTCTGTCCTCTACTTTTCAGCGTGTAGCCTATAGACTGGTGCCAGCCCACAAATAGCTTGTTATCAGTCTGCAAAGAAAAAAGGACAGAAAATGAGAGTTTAAAACTTTTATATCTGTTGAATCTAATAGTTTTAAAAATTTGTGTTCGTATTTTATGTCTTTTTTATTGTATTTTACAAAAGTATCAGTCTGTGACATATTAGGAATTTTTTAGTGCTCCTACAGATTAGATGCCCAAGGAAATGATTCTCCAAGGAGGTGGCAGTTTGGCTGAGACCTGAGTAAGGAACCAGGCATGTGAAGATGTGAAAAAAGAACATTCTGGGCAGAAAGGACAACTAGTGCCAATGCCCTAAGTTGGGTTGTTTGATATGATCAAGGGTCTGCCATGTGGCACAAGGGTGGAGTGACTCAAAATTGGAGAATTGACAGGAACCCGGTGTGTGAAGCCTTGCAAGCCAGTATGAAGAGTCTGGATTTTACTCAGTGTCCATTGAAAAGCTTTTGGAGGGTTTCATGCTTGACATGGTGTGTGTTTTAAAAGCTCACTCTGGCTACTATGTGGAAAATTCATTGTGTGGGGAATCAAGAGAGACAGATCAGGGGGTGGAAAGTTAATGACAGCCAAGACTCATAATGATAATAGTGCAAGACAGAATGGGTAGATTCAGATATGTTTTAAAGGTAGAGTTGATAGCACGTGGTGATGGATAATGTGATGAAGAGAGAAAATAATCAAAATGACTTCTAGGCTTGAGCAGTTCTGTGGGACTTTGCTAAAATGGGGACAACTAGGGAAGAGCAGATATTGATGGTGATTGTCAGGATAAAGAGTTTCATTGGGGCCTATGAAGTTTTAAATGCCTTTTAGACATCCAAGTATATAGATAGATGTTAGGTAGAAAATTAGAGCATGGAGTTGAGAAAGGTTGGAGCTGGAGATAAGTATTTACAAATACCCAAGGAGAGTGTGTTATGGTTGTGTGTATATGTGCTATTTTATTTTTTTCCAGTAATGCTCAGCTCTTTAGAAAAAGAAAGGACATACGATTGATGTAACTAGGGAAAAAATTTGAGATCTGAAGTATACTTTGGGTGAGAGGGAAAAAAAGAGGAAGGGTTAAAGGATGGTGATCTTGATAAAGCAGATGTGATAGATAAGGAAGAACAGAAAGAATCAGAAGATGTTTTTAAGGTGTGGATATTAAGATAGTAATATTTCAAAAGCAGAGTGGTCCAGTAGTGAAATGATTATGGTTATTGAGTGAAATGAGACAGCGATCATTGGCACTATAGAGATTAAAAAATGTGATGTTAAGAGTGATGGGTAGATTGTTCTTATGAGTGTTGAGATTGTCACGATAATAGTAAGAATAGGGTGGAAAAGACAACTTGGCAATGACCGTGAGATGACAGTGACAAGGAAGATTCCGCAGCTGGATAACATGAGCTTGAGTGAGTTGTGGGCAGGAGGGGAAGGATGTGGGAGGAAGTAGAAAAGTAGATGAGAAAGAAAAGTTTCCAACAAAACTTGATTTAGATCCCTCAGACCCCTGAACTGCACAATTCTTCCATACCTTTCTCACCTTTTCCAATGTGCTACCATCCTCACCTTCCTTCCAGGGCATTTGTGCAGATGGTTGTCGGTTAAGGAGGAATGTGCTTAATGTTTTAGGAAGCAGTAACATTCAAGGATTTCTCTGTGGACTTCACTAGGAGTGGGGTCTCCTGCACCCTGCTCAGAAGAAGCTGCACAGAGCTGTGATACAGCCACTTGGTCTCAGTGGGTAACAGCCTAAGCTAGACACCTGCCCATTGAAGCCTTTGTTTCTTCAATTTTAAATAATGACAGGCCCCAGGAGTTAGGGTTCAGGAATCACTTTCTTAATTTCTTTTTGGCACTAAAGGATGTTTCTGATTATTCTAAGCAGCTAAAGAACTTTACTCAAGAGTTGGAGAATGGTAGCTTCACTGAGTTTTCTGAAAAGCCATACCTGGTCCATCCCTGATAAGCTAGAGTTTGGGACTGATTTTGTTTTCTATACAGTTATCTAGTCCCTGTGTGTGTTTCCCAGATGTGATCTCTTGGTAGAACAAGTTGAAGGTAATTACATAATGGAGAACGAGCTTCAAAGGAATCAGCTAGGCAAGTTATAAGCCCCGGCTGATCCATGAAAAAGGAGTGAGTCCCTTATTTAAATGTTCCAGGAGTTCTCTTTGAAGTTCTCTGGTCTGTGGAGAAAGCTGAGGCTTCAAAGATACTTTCCACAAATCCAACTCCCTTGAGCTATTTACTATCTCCCTTCTACCTTTTCAGGAGGTCTAGTCTTTCTCATTCACACTGACCTTCTTATCTGCACTCTATCTTTGTCCGACAATCTCCCCACGTTGGTCTTGGGCCATTGTTGCTTGGACTTTATTTTCATTAAATCCCCCTGCCCTGCAATATCTAGTTTCCACTGCTTCTTTTCTCACACTTTCAGGGATTCCTCCATTTCCCCTTCTAAGTATTGGACAATATGTGGTGAGACAAAACCTGATACCTAGCAATAGATAGGGGTATAATTGATCTTCTCAAAAACTTTTTGATTGCTTGAAGCAAAGAGCCTTAACCATTTTTGATGTAATAATTCATTTTTAGGTATCTATCCTAAGGAATTAATCAGTAACTCCAGCTGAAAATGGTGAACAAAGGTAGGTCATTATAGAATTATTTGAAATACTGAAAAAATTACTCAACAAATACATCACAGGGTTGGTTATACAAATTATAGTGGATCATACAAGAAAAAAATATGTGGCCAATAAAAAATATGCCGATCAAGACTTTTAATTAGATAGGAAGATACATGTCTACCTACTACGTTGAACCATGTGAAATTGCCACTTTGTAGTAAAAACAGACATTCTACAAAAAACAACTGAAAAAAGTATCCTGTAATGGTGGCTTTTAGGGTTTTTTTCCCGCTTCAGCCCACATGGTTCTCTTCCCTCAGTAATTATGGCTCTCAAACATTATTTCTTTCTTTTTGTTTGTTATGCTTTTTACCCCTCGAGGTGACAACACCTTCCCCAATCTGCCACCCCACTTTCCCCGCAGTATCATACATATCTATTACAATTCCCTTGACTCCACTCCCACACTATAGTCCACGTCCCATGACTATATACATATATAGTCACTTATAGTTCACATACAATATTATACACCAGTGCATTGATCAAGCCTCTACCGCATCCATGATGCGGTCTCCCTAGCAAGACATGTGACCACCAGACACCCTACAAAATATTTACAACATTATTAATTATATTCCTCGAACTGTCTTTCATGTCCCTGTGGCAATATTGTAGTTACATATTTATGCTGTCTAATCCCTTCCCCTTCTCCCTCATTCCCACCCCCTCCCAACTAGCAGCCATCAGTTGTTCCTCTATATCTCTGAGACCACTTCTGTTTACTTTGCTCGCTCATTCAGTTTTTTAGATTCCACGTATAAGTGAAATCATATGGTATTTGTCTTTCTCCAACTGACTTATTTCACTTAAGATAATAGTCTCTAGATCCATCCATATCTTCCCAAATCATACGATTTCATTCTTCTTTATAGCAGAGTAATACTCCCTTGTATAAATGTACCACAGTTTCTTAATCCAGTTGTCTACTGATGGGCATTTTGGTTGTCTCCAAGTTTGGCTATTGTGAATAGCGCTGCAATAAACATAAGGGTGCATATATTTTTTTTGAATTAGTGTCTTGGTTTTCTCTGGATACCCAAGTGTGGAATTGCTGGGTCATATGGTAGTTCAATTTCCAGTTTTATGAGATACCTCCATATTGATTTCCATAATGGCTGCACCAATCTGCAGTCCCACCAACAGTGCACCAGGGTTCCCTTTTTCTCCACAGCCTCGCCAGCACTTTTTGTTTGTTGATTTATTGATGATAGCCATTCTGACCAGACTGAGGTGGTATCTCATTGTGGTTTTTATTTGCATTTCTCTAATGATTAGTGAGGTTGAACATTTTTTCATATGCCTGTTGGCCATCTGTATGTCCTCT